CTAGTTTCGCTTTTTACGCACAGCCTCCTCGCTTTAACACGCGAACATGCAAGCCGCACAAGTACAGCTTCGTAGTCCGCCATGTTGCTCATTGCACTGTCCCTTGAGCGAGCCTTTTCACTGTAAATCTTGTATACAGAGCGAAGTTATATCGCAGTATATACTTTGCGAAGCGCCAGAAGCGTGTCGGCCAATTTTTCCGGTTGAGATGTACCAATACGCTTGACACTGTCGGTAAAACCACCCGGTCCGCCGTCGCTCTACTGCATACACTAATGCCCGTTATATTCTTCTAGATCCTCAAACTAAAACTTTGATTGTGTTGACATAACAACCGACAAAGGTCAGAGTGTAGATAATTTCACGTCTGGTCAAAACAGCTTGTGACACCATCCAACCGAGCTTTGACAGAGAGGTTTTGCCAGCATCGGGATAAGTACAGCTTTTAAACTGCGTTCGTAGGTCTTCAATAATGTCATCATATTTATAGACAACATTTCTCTCTTAAACAAACGCAGACAATGTCGGCTCTTGGCACCTTCAGTTCGTATATGGTTAGCGTACTCGTTTGGGTATGGTTTAGCCGTAGTCACGGTCGGGTCCAGCCAAGTGTAGCCTTGACTGGGTACGAGTAACCGACTCCCGGGATCGGTTGGTCGAGTTCACCAGACGATGGGTATTTACTACTAACAGTAAAGCTTTTTGTTGTTGCCTGTCTTCCTTCATCAGTCACGGCTCGCATTCTCGCACTTTGTCTTTTCGAATTTTTACATTTTGTGTTTATTGTCTGACCTTTTAAGGCGCTAAAAAGGGCAGTAGATATGTGTGAAAAAAAACTCATTCCCTAATAACAAGCTAATTTCTGTCTAAATCCACCTGCATACAGGTATATTGTAATCGATGTGGCCCGAGGCCACACCAGCAAGCAATGCGTTATGTTTGCGTTGGTAAATCCATCAACTCGATTGTGCAGCTACGGGCGCAGGTGAACGAAATGCAGCATATGTGCCAGTTTCAAAAGTGCAATTCTGGCCGCTTTACTGTATGGGTTTATGAACTCGCATTATCATAAATCCACCACCTGCTCTATAATAGGGAGCATGCGTCAAAAAAATGATACTGATGAACCTAAGTACGAATCGCGATTTAAGCACTCTAAACGAAAGCGGGGCGTCTCCTCTATCTTTTGAGCCCTTATAAGCTACAGAATGCTTAAAACTGAAGAAGTTGTGGTCGCTCAAAAATATTATCTCCATTTATGGGCCCTCAAAATGACGATACATTTAGGAGTGTTGTGAGCTCAATACTTTTTCAATTTTAAAAATTCAAGTGTTATTTAAAAGCTTTTGTTAAAAGCAATTGAATAAGGGTAGTTTAACAGTTTTTTCGATGGAAGTTTACAATAAATGTCACTGTTTCGGTTAAGTGCGAAAATCAATTGGCCAACTTTAAGCTCGAATATCTCGATAACTCTAAATGGTTCATCGGTACAGTAAACGCTCTCCATTCCGGTATCGTGGTCCGACCCTATCTCAAGATTTGAAATTGTTTTAAGGAGTCTACAGACTTATCTGGGAAGCGCGGATTATAAGATTCTCTACATCGTCGAGGTCGTCGTAGCTGGAAGATATAATGTCCTTGTTCCTATCATCGACTGCGTTATACAGAATACCTGTACGGCGAAAGCAGTTCTGGACTGTCAGCTTCTCCCGCAGGTCAAGCCAAATAGCCTTGCTCCACTGCATTGCCGTAAGCTGGTCAACCTTGTACGCCTTTTTGTCAATTTTATCACCGTGCTTTATCTTGTTGTAGACCCACTCAAGCTGTTTCTGTCGGTACGCAACCTTGAACGCCGCGATGATTCCAGCGTCCATCGGCTGTAAAAAGGCAGTAGTGTTAGGTGGCAGAAATTCTACCCGAACATTAGTACAGACCAGATTGCCAGTGTTGTGGGATGAGGCGTTATCTAAGAGCAACAGAATGAAGCGACCACTGGCCCGCATATCTCGATCGAGACCTCTGAGCCACTCACGAAACACTTGACCATTCATCCACGCCTTCTCGCTCGCCCGATAGTAAAAACCCAACTCCTCTGCGGATTTCTTTTGAAAGCAATAAGGCTTCTTCGCCCGTCCCAGAAACAGCGGAGGCAGCAAGTTCGTGCCGTCAGCGTTTGCTGGCAGCGCGAGCGTCATCCGCGTCTTGTCCTTCTTCACTCCACGGGCGGACTTAGTGCAGATTGAGCGGACAGGGGCCATCGCGTAGCACAATCCGGTTTTATCCATGTTGTAAATATCTTGGGGACTGTAGAGATCTGTTATTGCTTGCAGTCGTTGGCGCCCAGCCACAACAGCTACAAGATCGGCTGAACCAGCTTCGCCAGGTCGCTGCCGACTAGGAGCCCATGCCGCCGCTCGAATGCGGTGATCCAGCCGTCGGAGAACGCCATCTCCCACTCGTCACACAGGTCCTTCTGGATATCGCGAGCCTTCAGCTTAATCCGCGCACGTGAGAGGCACACGCCTTAAACTTCGACTGTCTGAATCCACTCCCAAAGCTGGTTCTCCAGAGCTGGCGACGTCACGCGCAGGGTCCTGTACCTGTTGCCGTCACTGTCATCAGACAGGATCGTGTCAGCCTTCTTCAAGATGTCGGAGACCGTCGTCTGGGCTGGTGTCCGTTTAATTTTAACGTTACTTTTGCCCACGCTGCTAGTTCCTCTTGTGTCAACGCTGGGTTCTCCCTGGCCTTCTTGATCATGGCCTTCTTCTGTCTAATTGCGAGCCACCTCCCCATGGCTGGTCAGTGGCAACTAAGCTGCTGATGCCCGAGGCTACGGAATGACTGGTGCACCGCAACTGTGCGATGGATGGTGTGGAATAGTTCCCGATCTTCTCCCTCTTTAAAACGCTACGATCATTTGGGTCCGATTATTAGGTTACAGCAGTACCGGAATGGAGAGCGTTTACTGTATCATTTTGTTGGAGCAGTCTAGAGCAACAGAATATCCACACTACAGAAACAGCATATTCGGTTTGGTTCTGTATGATTTCGGTATTTTATCAAAATATACGGAGTAACAGATCCCCAGCTGCTATCACGCAGTTGCGCAGGAAAAATAAATAACTTCGGCCTGCCGTGTCAGCAAAATTGAGACATTCAAAATTTTGAAAGTCTGTGAGGCAGTTTGGACCGCTCATTCGAAGATTTTCCCGCTCCCAGACAACCCACTCAAATCGATGGTAAGCCGTGATGTATGGCTCCTTGCAGTGCTCTTACCTGTCTAATGTGCTGTTGTGTAATGCACAGCCACCAGAAGAAGAGCTTCCTCTTTATCCTGGCCACAGCAAGCAGCGCAAGACCCCTTCCCGGGATCCCGTCGTGCTGTCGCGCCAGCAGCAAGCGGAAGCAAACCGCGTGAAGATTCGGTCCGCCACTCGCGCTGCGCAAGAAGACGTTGAGCCACCAGCGAGACGACTGCCCCCTCTCGCTCAAGTTGTAAGAGGGAGCGGATCGCTCGCTCGTATGGTGCTGCTGAACCAGGGGTCAAGAAACTTATTAGTGCGGTCAATCTCGGATATCATTGGGGTGCTTTTTACGTTGATGTGGAGAGAAAGCAATGCTACCTGCTCGACCCGATGCAGTTGAAGAGCCACATCACGTCGCTCAGAACGGAGGTGTGCACTGTCGTAGAGCCAATGCTGAAGATGACGGACCAGATCCCGTACGAAACGATCACTGGCTGTGAGCAGCAGGATAGCTCGTTCTGCGGCCTCTGGTGCTTGGTCGTGTGAGAGCTACTGCTCTTTGGAGCAACTCACGATAAGGGGGGCAACTATTGGAACGACTCGTTGTACGATGCAGGTGGCTATTTGCGCATGCGGTACTTGCACAAGGTGATCAAGCTGCAGAGCCACTTTCCAGTTGAAGACGAGCCGGAAGAAGAGAAGTAAGTGCAGACATTGGTTACTGGTAACTTCAACACGAATTGATTTTAGTATCACTTTGAAGCCAAACAGAACCAAACCAAAATTATACAGAACCCGTGGGACTTAGCGTTTTTTGCGAGGTGTTCCTGCTCCAGAAAAGCCCAGTCAAGTCTATATTTTGAAAAACGGCTGTGCGTTCAATTTTTCATACTCAGCGCCATATTATTGTATAGGACACGACGAGATTTGATATGCTAGAAACTATGTAGACTATAAAAGGCGACATGTACACTATAAACGACATCAAACTTACGCACTTACCGAGCACTTACCGCGTAAATTACTGCCACTTCGTCATTTATTTGAAAGCCCATTCTCTGTTGCACACAGAAAAAATACGTTACCCATCACGCGTGTGTGAGAGACCTTATTTTCGTCTATCCATTTTCTGTTGGACTACCGGTAGCACGATCCCATAGCAAAACTAATCTCGCTTTGTCAAAATCGACGCAATTAAACCTTGAAAATGAGCAAGGGTACTTTATTCAGAGTGGGTACATTATTTGTTAGAGCTCCGTCAATATAAAGAACAAAATAAAGACCTGGATGGAAGTAATTAGCTTGCATGGAGATCTCATCCCATGTTGGCTGGCTGAGGCTTTGGTGCACGTGCTGGAACGAGCTGCACCGCTCCAACTGAAACGACACCTTTTAGTCTCTGTGGGGGACGCAACGACCGCTGAGCAAGGGGGTCTGTTATCTGCGCTGGTGAAAGGTTTTTTGCATCGGAATGAGGCACTTGTAGGCTGTAACCCGGAAGTGGATGACCCCTACATACATGTACACCTGAAAGATATTGCCAAGCTATCTGAACGGATAATAGATCGAGCTACCAGTGGAGAGTTGATCGTGGTATATGCACCATGCCAGGACAGAGTTGCAGCGACGTGGATAGAAGGAGTGGCATCGACGCTGCAAAACTGCTCGCAGAGTGGCATACTCTTGATACTACACAATCCGGCTGGGTTGTTGGGACTAAAGGCAGATGATCGAGTAAGAACCAGCTCCTCAATGTATCACATCAGTCGTATTGGAGCTGCGAAGTCTGCGTACGACTGGGAAACGAGTTTAGAGTTTATTGCGCACCCCCTGGATTGTCTACGGGATCAGTGTGGATGGCATTTTGTGATGGAAATTGTTCGCTGGATCTCCGGGTCGGTAGAAAGTAGGAATGGGGCAACAAGAGCGATGTTTTCGACGATTAACCAGTTACCATTCCAGATGCTGTTATTGATATTGCGCTGGAGCCATTTCCACCCGCAACTCGTCCGTGTATGCGGCAAAAAGCTCCGGAGACAGCTGCAGCTCATCCCTCAAGCGCGTATACACCGCGACCTTATAGAATTACAGAGGCGTGAAGAGCAGATTTGGAGATACGTGTATCCATCTGAAGAACAAGTCGAGGAAACGCCTGCAATGTCGACGCAGAAGGCAGTGCTAGCGTCGCCATTTATTGATGCACCATCCCATCCTCAGGAAATAACAATAAAACTCGGACGACTCTCGGAATGTTGTTTGTGGGATGCGCAAAAGCATTTTTACAAGGATGAAGGCATCCGTGCATGGAGTTCCGGTAAAATTCCATTCGGAGTGTCCAGTAGTTCGTTTCTAGCTGCAGCGTACGCACGTATAGTGGTCGACTTTTTATTGAGTAATGCTGACTGTGTCGAGGCTGCTTCTGGAGAGAACAGCTCTCCGAATTGCTTCGTGTGGGAGGCGGCAAGTGGTTCGTGCAAGTTCCTGCACTCATTCATGCTACACTTTACCGACCTTGTGGCTGCCAATGCTGAGTTTAAACGACGAGGTTTAATACCCTTAGTTGTCGCGACGGATTTAAGTGAGCAAGTTGTGAACTCTCGTCGTCAGATGGCGTGCTTTCGCCAGTTTATTAAGCGTGGACAGTTGGATTTTGCGCTTTTTGACACGCAGGAGTTTGTGCACGGAGATCCTAAAGTCTCTGGGAAGAAGAAAACATTACGGTTAGTACATTCGCGGCGTCAATGGAACGTCGGAAGCGACGGTCCTGTGGCAATGATGGGGAATTATTTCTTGGATTCACTACGCGCTGACATTTTTACAGTAGCCATCCAACAGGATCCTGTGAATGCAAATGTTAGCAAAAGCGAGCGTGCAATTGTACAAGATGCGCTACTTAGGAAGGACACGTCAAGTATTGCGAACATGGACGTAGTTCTGCGTCCAGTGCCAGATCCACGGACACAGCCTGTGTACGAAGACGAGCGATTCAACACAATTCTAGTGGAAATACTGGATCATTTCCACTCTCAGAGCGGTGATTCTACAACTGCAGGTTCAGTTTCATCGACTGGATTGGTTCTATTCCCTGTAGAAGCTTTTAAATTCTTGTTGGCACTCTTCGATCGTACGTGTAGCGGAGAAGCAGATGCGTTCCCTATCGCTCTTCTTGCTGGTGATGCACGATTTTCCTTCCGAGACGCGGTCTCGAGTGCATTTATCACTACAACAACTGTCGAAAGCACTACGGGATCCACTGATCATGCGAGTCTAGAGCTGCCGCAGTTATCTCCTCATCCAGACTGCTTCTGTCTTCCTGTTGACTTCGAGATCTTTGAGCTGTTTTTTAAGCATCTCAACAACACTGGTGCTGGCATTTCTGCGAGATCACAGCTAGTCTCCGCTCCAGCGAGTGATACGTTCGATGTCTTCTTTGCTACAGTTGAACCAACGACGACTGCTGTGGCACAAGGCAGAACGAAGGCGCTACAAGCTAGCTTCAGGCACCAGTTTGCCCGTTTTACCCCTGGGGATTGCGACTTATTGTGGGGCATGATGAGTTTTGACGACGGTGCACGGTGCTTTTCAATGGATACTCTACTTGCTCTCTTGGCGCAAACCGGGTGGGATTTTGATTTGTTTTCAGAGCTACATTGGGAGCTGCTGAGCCGGTGGAAGAAGCTAGAACACAGTGAGAGGATACACTATCAACACGCCCTGATTGAAGCTGGTGTCAAGTCCTGGCGAACAATTTACCACATGGAGCAGCAGAGCGAGACGGACACCACCACGCGATGGATTCTCTTACAACTCGCACGTTGGTTTTACGGTAAGATGTGCAACCTGAAGGTTTATAGATGTCCTATAGCACTCAATTGTATCGTTGTTATTCGACAGAACTGGAAGCGTACACTAACGTACTGGAAGTATTGATGCCCTGGCACGACGAGCCACACGAAGCTAGCAACTCTAACGATGTGGACATCTTCTATTTGCTTGGGGTAAGTACTGCAATGAGTACACTTATCATTAACGGCATCATTTCTTCTAACAATGGTATGTTTGTAGCTGACAAACTTGCGGAAAGGAGACAATCGGATTGCGCTTCCTTTTTTTCGTCATTGCGCGCGCTTAGCTCCAACTAAAATGAAATTTCAACGCCAAGTAGCCAGCCTGCAATGGTTGCAGTCTTCGTCAAACAGCTCCATCGATGCAGCTTAAACTCAACACCACCATGAAGAATGAAGAGAAATGTCTTATCAATTGTTTTTAGGCAGTTTATTATTTTTCGTACATGATTTTTTTCAATGAACATCTACAGCCTGTCGGTTCAATATCTACAATACATCCCTTTACACACACACTACTTCCCTTCAAGCTTCACTGTCGCGAGATAATCCTCTACAACTTTTGCACAGTCTTTCGCTCCGTCAACAGCGAATAACAACTGGTCGCTCCGCTCAGCGGAAGCCTCAACTTGGCTCTACAGTACAGGTACACGAAACACAGCGTTAGATACTTCCAGCACATCTGCGATCCCAGTAGACCGTACCTTAAAGTGGAAGACGAGGGAGTTGTCTAGATCGTTCCGGCTCTCGACCTTTGTCAGCGAAGTCAGTGGGCGCCATTCTTCTACTAACGCGAACCCCTTGGGCGTCGACGCCTTCACAATAAGCACAACAAGAGCCGAACTCGTGACCACCAGCTCCCGATGCCCCAACTCACTCAGTTGTCGATGGGCTTCTTCGTCCTGCTCCTCAAACTTAGTGGCACTGTAAAAGTGGAAGCTTTTGTCGGCATTATTCGACGACGACTTCCAGCTGGTCAGGTTTACGTATCGTGCTGAAGCTTCGCTTTTTGTATTATCTTCGAGCTGTTCAGTCTCGTCCTCTTCTTTACTCAATGGGGTCTCATCACATGGCTGATGGTTGTTAGAGGAATTCGATCGTCGTCTCAATCGAGAAGCTACAGCAACGGCTTTGTCCAAGATGGTGCTTCCAGTGCTCATAGAAGCACTCTGTGGCGCTTGTGTTGTCGTCTGCTGTGCCTTCTTTCCGTCACTGCTCGTAGGTTTCCGCTCGTCTTCATCACTCGAGTTATTCGCCGATCCTCTGTCAGTCGGGGGAGTACGACAGCTCTCGCTAGACTCGCTGTATGGACTCCACTTGTTGTCTTCAGTGCCGCTACGAAGACGGAACAGATAGGGTGTGTTCGGCTGCAAGCCTGACACCGTGAACTTCAGCGTATCCGCTTCAACGTCAGGCTTCACAGTCCACCACATAGCAGCCAGACGATCCTTCACGTACTGGATCTGGAACTTAGTCACGCCTACATCGCTCACGGGGTCCCACGTCACCACAACTTCAGAGCTGGATGCAGCGAACACCTGTAAAATACGAGGTGCAGTAAGTGTATGAGCCGACGGTGGCGCACTGTTGCTGCCACTGCTGCTAGCTGCAGTGGAGACCATGGAGCTGATCGATCCAGCGCTATTAGAATTGACATTGTCGCCGAGTCCTGGGGAGATGCCACTGGAACTGAGGAACGACTGGACCATAGACTTGGCTTGTTCTTGTAGCGAAGGCCCAGTCTCTTCACCAGCAGACTCAGGAAGTCGCTCTAGCACTACTGCGCCGTCGGGGGTGTTTTCGAAGGCCCACACCCCATCAGCGTCATCATCCGCCTCCCTCTGGCCATTCCGAAGTAACATCAGCTCACCATCTGCTCCTTCGTACTCTCCATCTTGATCGACATTGTCGTCAGTGTTCCCCAAAGCAACGCGGACGAATATTTGGTTGGTGCCAGGACACACAAGCCTCTCCGATCCTCGGATCACAAGCCCCTTCTCCAATACAACGTCCAGCTTTTCAGCGTTGAAATCTGGACGACGACGAGTGTGCAGTGGCAATAAAACGCGGTAGAAAAAGTGACCTCGCTCGACGTATTCAGGACATACACCAGCTAGGAAAACGGCTGTCGTCGAGTCTTCACGACCCACAGACGTCGGTGTTACAGCTCCTGACTGCAGCTTGGCTGTGACGACATTCAACGTCCTCATAGATCCACTCGATAAGCTGTACGGTCCCCACTGTTGTCCGTCGCCACAGCGCACACGGAACACTAGCGACTCCCCCGGCTCCAGACCAACCATCGTACCGTTCGTCTGGTCCGTGATGCCAGTCGTATCCACCTCCGCTGTTGTCCCTTCCTGCTTCATCGCGACTGGAAGCCAGGGATTAAACTCATCGCCTGACTGCTTAGCAAACTGTAGCTGATAACGAGCCACCGCAGGAGACGCGACCGAGACAGGCACTTTATCCCACGTGATACAGATCGAGTGTCTCGTCACACTAACAAGAGTAGGGGCCAGTGGCGGGATATCCGACACAGTCGCAGCCTTATCCCTCTGTGAGCTTACAGGAGTAAGGAAGCGTAACACCACAGGTCGAGACGCTTCGATGACATGCTCGATCACAGTGAGGAACGCCACGCCCTCCAGACTCTCTCCATTGATAGCAACGAGCAAGTCGCCAGTGTTAATGAGTCCCGTGGCGGACGCTTGACTGTCCGGCACCACGCTGTCCACGACGGCTTGAAAGATCTTGGACGTACGAGACTTCTGGAACAAGATCCCGATAGGACCAGGCTGAAGCTCGACGTCGGTAGTTTTCCCAGCATTCTTCTCCACTGTATCGCTTGCCTTCAGCCGCACTTCGACCCACCCGTCGTCGCTCGTAGAGTGGCTTTCTTCGACATAATTTACCTCATCGGACGTGTTGCTGTTGGATAAGCCTATAGAGCTCGACGTGGACGACACGGCGTCTCTCGCTGCTGCCTTTAACAGCATCAAACGTTGCGACAACGTCGATACCGCTGAGCTCGTCGTAGCTTTAGTCTTCTTCTTCGCTTCCTTGCTACCTGGAGTTGATGAGACTGACGCTGAAGTGCTCACAATGGCAGAAGTAGAACGCCCGCTGTTCGGGTCTGATGCCTCCGAGCGCATACTGGCATCAACTTCAGCTACAAAGTCGTCTTGCGAAGGTGCACGTGGACGATTCAGCCCCATTTTAGCGAACAAGTTGAAGCCTCCAGTTGACGAACTCCCAGTCTCAGGCGGCACCGTCACCTGCTCAGTAACCGCTGGCGGTGGCAGCGGTGACGTCACCAGAAGCTGCTCCTGCGTGAACGTGTCCATACACCGGATAGTCTTCTCCAGTTCATCAAAGCCTCCGTCCAGATGGCTCACGTACTTGAATCCCTTTTGCAAGAACATGAGCACAAGTCGAGTCACAGACTCATGTTCCGCGTGGACCTTGGACGCTCCATTGCTGCCGATCTCGCTGGCTAACGCGCCAGGTTCTCCAGGACTCTGCTTCCTCGATAACGTTGCAGGTCCAGGTGGAAGCGACGATGATGTGGCGACGTGTTCCGCCACATGAGCTTCAATTGGCTTCTGGCTCTGTTCTTGGACAGATTTATCGCTTGAGATGACTCTGGCCAGACGCACGATAGTGTTCATGGCTGCGTTATTCGACGAGGGTCTTGGTAGCACAGCTGGCGACTCGACTGAGGGTCCAACGAAGCAGAAATGGCAGCCTTTCATGCAGGAGAAGCCCTTCATGAGTCCATCCAACGCAGCTGGGCGTCTCATGATACTCGGATCGATATGGTGCGAGAGACTTAAGTGCGACTTGTGATACTCCTCTATAGGTCGACAATCCAACACGATAAACTTCAACGCCATCGCTTCGTCCGCATCATTTCCAGACGCATACAACAACGGAGCTTGCTCGGCAGGAGACAGCAACGGGTTCAATGCGTCTTGCTCTTCTTGCATGACTGGCGCGGCTGGAGCCAGCGTCGACGTATGCTCCTTGGCTTTCGTCAATCGATCCATCAAGTTGCGTACTAATTCCTCTGGATACACCTGCAGACTGGAGCACGCGTAAAGCTGGTCCAGAAACGGCACCATGGCATCTGTGAAGCCTCCGTAGCACACCGAGTACAGGTCTCGTTTGAATGACTTTGGGGTCAGCTCCGAGAACGCCAGGGCGTCAGCACAAACCTGCTCCAGCTCGTTACGCGACGAGAAAGTCAGCGAGCTCAGAACTTGAGGCAACATGGCAATATCCGCCTCAAAGATCTTCGCTCGGTTCGCAGCGACCAGAGCGTACGCCACAAAGTGCAGAAGATACGGGTCTTCTTCCAATAGAAAAAAATCCCAGAGATAAAACACAAATTCGGGCGGTAACGAGCGCGCAAAGAGCGTCATGAACCACGGCGTCACGTAAAGCTCCGGCGTCATGTCGTGCTGGTCCAGATAGTGACACAATGCCGGGTCGTGGTACAGCATTAAGAGTCTGTATAACTGGAAGGAGCACTGCAGCGACCGGAACTCTTTGTCCACGAACACATGAGGCAGGAGCTTGTCGATGAGCGCGTAAAAACACTGAAACACGGCCCCCTCAGCCAATGGGGTCCTCTCTGGAGCCCCATCGCGTTGTTCTGTGAGTAGTAAGAACGGGGCGAGCACCTCGTTCATTCCCTGTTTATATTGGATGCTACGGCGCTTGCAGTAGTACGTCAGCAGCTTGACCACGAGCTCCACAGTCTCTGGCTGTTGAAAACGAGGCTCGTTGCCTCTAGTTCTGGCGGCATCGGCGGCGACAACTCGCTGGTTGTCCAGATCTTCCTCTACCTGTCGGATACTCTGGTCCAGATTCGGTCGATCGGTACGAGCCACACCCAACAGCTCCTGCCACACTTGAGAGCGCAGGTTGGAGGGCACACCACCCAGGGAACGACACGTTACGCCTATCACAAAGTGGTCGGGTCTTCTCTTCTGCATCTCGCGATCTAATTGGAGGGTTAATAGGCTGCGTGTGCTCTGTTTGGGGGCTGTAGCATCAGCTCGAACATCGGCAGAGGCTGTCGAAGGGGATTGTGGGGCGTGTACGATGTTGCTTGGAGCGGCGAGAGGTGTGTTGATATCCTGGCAGGACGCGGACAGAGTAGGGAGCGCTGAGGACGCGTCGTCTTCGCAAGGAGCCTCCATATCTGCGCACGCCCCGTCGAACGCCTTGTGCTCTTTCCACAGACTGACCTTTACGATCGAAAGTCTGATCCGAGCGGTTACGCCAGAAGTGGGTACAGAACTGCTCAAGAGAATAAATTTATGTCAGCCACATCAGCTTGGAGTTACTCTTTTTCATCTTTTCATACGTTTTTCTACAATCTTCATTGATTCATACGCTTGTATACGACGCCTTTAAACAGCGATTATTACCCAATCAGGTCCAAATAGCAAGGTCACTTCCAATCGCCAGATGAGAGGACAATGTGCTCTCCGGCAACATGGTACCTGAGCAACATCGATCGTAGACGACCCCTCACACACTAATGGGGACGTAGCATCATTATCAAATTTGCAGCTCTTCACAACAATCACCGAGAATTCGAGCTGTTCGTTCAAACTCGAAGGCTGACACTCGATTTTCGAACCCCAACAGCTGCGATGGAGCCTCGGATGGAAGTTCGATTCGAGAGTTTATCTGTCTCGGCCGATATTGTCGTGAGGGATGAGACTCAACTCCAGGTAGAGCTTCCAACGCTCTCAAATGTCGTCAAAACAGAATTAAGGCGAATGACCGCTTCGAAACGCGTTGTCACGAAGCAAATACTGCGAAATCTGAGTGGAATACTGAAACCTGGAACCATGACTCTTGTCCTTGGTCAGCCAGGGTCCGGCAAGTCGACGTTCATGAAGATTTTGAGTGGGTGCTTCCCGGTGAAGAGTAATATTACGGTGGAAGGGGGAATGACTTTCAACGGTGTTCCTCAAGATGAAATCCGCGCAACGCTGCCACAACTTGTGTCGTACGTGGATCAGCAGGACAAACACTACCCAACATTGACGGTACAGGAAACACTCGAGTTTGCGCACGACTGCCATGGTGGAGAACTGTCCAAGCGGGAACAGCAACATGGTACTATTGATACAGCCCAAGCCATTCGTCAACTTGGTCTTGGTAGTTGCCAGAGCACAGTATTGGGTGATGCTATGCTACGTGGTGTATCGGGTGGTGAGCGTAAGCGTGTAACAATGGGAGAGATGGCATTTGGTAACGAACCCGTCGTTATGCTGGACGAGATCAGCACGGGTTTGGACAGCGCTGCAACTTTTGACATTATTTCGACACAGCACGAGCTGGCTAACACCTTTGGCAAGACGGTGGTGATTTCCTTGCTACAACCGTCCCCCGAGGTGCTCGAGTTGTTCGACGACGTGATGCTGCTGAATGATGGCTACGTACTATACCATGGCCCCCGGTCTGAAGTGTTGACTTACTTTGAAGCTTTCGGCTTCAAGTGTCCAGATAGCCGAGATGTGGCCGATTTCCTGTTGGATTTGGGGACAGACAAACAGCATCAATACGAAGTGGAAGCAGCTCCAAGGAAGCCGAGCGAGTTTGCTCGTCACTTTGAGCGCTCTCGTGTTCACGCGCAAATGCTGGATACGTTGCATGTCCCGTTGAATCCTGCACTAGTGGAGAATACAAAGCAGTACATTGGCACGATTCCTGCATTCAACCGAAGCTTCTGGAGCAATACCTCAACGCTTATCCAGCGCCAACTGAAAGTGTTTTCCCGTGATCGAACATTGATCATCAGTCGAGTCTTCATGTCTCTTCTGCTGGGTCTGCTCAATGCAAGCTCGTTTTTTCAGCTCGACGAAGTGGACGCGCAGTTTGTCATGGGGATCCCCTACGTGGTCGTCGGTTTTATTATGATCGGACAGTCTGCCCAAGTTCCTGCATTTGTCGCGATTCGAGATGTGTTCAAGAAGCAACGTCGAGCCAATTTCTTCCGTACAGCGTCGTTTGTAGTGGCGACTTCGACCAGTCAGATCCCTTTGGCTGTCCTCGAGACGCTGATTTTCGGCTCCATCATGTACTGGATGTGCGGCTTCGTGTCGACAATCGAAGGCTTTGTAGTCTTCGAGCTCATTCTGTTCCTCTCTAGTATGGTGTTTGGGGCGTGGTTCTTCTTCCTAGCAGTTGTGTGTCCGGATCTGAACGTGGCCAACGCGATCACGTTGCTGTCCGACTTGCTCTTCACAATCTACTCGGGTTTTGCGATTACCAAAGGAGAGATCCCGTCGTATCTGCTCTGGATCTACTGGATCAGTCCATTGACGTGGGGAATTCGAGCGGTGGCAGTGAACCAGTACACGGATTCTTCTTTTAATGTGTGTGTGTATCGAGACGTGGATTACTGCGAGAAGTACGACATGATCTTGGGCGCGTATTCGTTGAGTTCATTCGACGTTCAGACCGAGAGATACTGGCTATGGGTGGGCGTCTTCGCGCTCATCGCCATCTACGTCGTCTTCATGATTATGGCGTGGATCGTTCTGGAATACTGGTGCTACGAGAACGCTCCCAACGTGACGCTAAAAGTCGAGAACGAAGCAAGTTTCGTGCAGATAAATCAAGACTACGCTCTGGTAGAAACCCCGAGAAGCATCAACGTAAGCGTTAAAGTCGATGATGGGCCAAGAAAACAGTTAATTCCAGTGACGCTGGCCTTCAAGGACTTGTGGTATTCCGTACCCGAGTCGGAGAATCCCAAGACCAGTATCAATCTGCTGAAAGGTGTCAGCGGGTTTGCTCTACCTGGTACCATTACGGCGCTTATGGGGTCGTCTGGCGCCGGTAAGACTACGCTTATGGACGTGATCGCTGGAAGGAAGACCGGTGGAATGATTCGTGGCGAGATTCTGCTTAACGGATACCCAGCTACAGATCTTGCTATCCGTCGAGCTACGGGATACTGTGAGCAGGTGGACATTCACTCAGACGCTTCGACCTTCCGGGAGGCTTTAACTTTCAGCGCATTTCTCCGCCAAGATGCCGAGATACCCGACGCTGACAAGTACAGCACGGTCGATGAATGTCTCGATCTGTTAGACTTGCACTCCATCGCCGACCAGATCATTCGCAACAGCTCAGCGGAGCAGATGAAGCGACTTACTATCGGCGTGAAGCTAGCAGCACAGCCCAGCGTCTTGTTTCTCGATGAACCTACCAGCGGATTAGACGCTCGGTCCGCCAAGCTCATCATGGACGGCGTACGCAAAGTAGCAGACACTGGACGTACCGTTATTTGCACCATCCACCAGCCGTCGGCTGAGGTCTTTTGTGTGTTCGACAGTCTGCTGTTGCTGAAACGCGGTGGAGAGACGGCGTTTTTCGGAGATTTGGGCGAGAATGCGTCGACTTAGATCAATTATTTCGAGTCGATCGATGGAGTGATGAAGCTGGCAAAACCCTGCCACGTGGATGCTAGAGGTGATTGGTGCCGGGGTGGGTAGGAGTGACGACAAGTTCGACTTTGTGTCCTGCTTCAAGTCAAGTGACCACTTCCATCGTCTGCAGGGCTTCTTTAGCGCCACAAAAAACTCACTTCAGCCTCTTCTATTCACGAGGAAACGTGCGGCCAGTAACGTGACTCAAGCGAGATTCCTCCTCAAGCGCTTCTTCGATTTGTACTGGCGAACTCCATCGTACAACTTGACCCGGTTCATCGTCTCGGTCATCATCGGAGTGGCCTTTGGAATCACGTTCATTGACGCCCATTATTCCTCGTACCAGGGCATCAACTCTGGCTTGGGGACAGCTTACATGACGACGTCCTTCATCACGTACATCACGTTTAACGCTGTTTTACCCATCACCTACCGAGAGCGAGCTTCGTATTACCGTGAACGATCATGTGAGACCTACAACGCGTTCTGGTACTTTACGGGATCGACGATTGTGGAGATCCCGTATTGTTTCGGAGCGAGTTTTATCTTCTTGGTAATTTACTTCCCGCTGGTAAAGTTTACGGGTATAGTGGAGTTCTTTTCGTACTGGCTCAACCTATCCATGTTGGTGCTGGTACAAGCATATTTTGGACAGTTGTTGGCCTATTCGCTGCCTAGTATCGAGGTGGCATCGGTCTTCACGGTCTTAATTGGCTCCATCTGCACTTTATTTACGGGTTTTAATCCGCCGGCCAGCTCCATTCCTCACGGTTACCAATGGCTACATCATTTCGTTCCGCACAAACGCACCTTCTCCAGTCTGTCGGCTATAGTCTTCAGTGACTGCGCGAAATTAGATTGTCAGGAGGTCTCGAACGCACCACCAAGCGTAGCTGAAGGAACAACTGTGAAAAAGTACTTGGAGGTAGTATTCGAGGTGAAGCATAGTGATATTTGGTCCAACTTCGCTATCGTGGTAGGATGGGCCGTAGGACTCCGTCTTCTCGCCCTCACAGCTCTCCGCTCCATCAACTACCAAAAGCGGTAGGACGGTATAATAAAGATACTCCACTACGTACTTTAAAAAGTAATTTTAAAAAACAATTTTTACGAAGTATTACTTTTTAACCCTCAAAGTACTACGTAGTAAAAGTATAGATATTCAAGAACCGACAGGGTTGTCGTTGTCCAGGAGTGCCTTCACTTTCTCCAGCCCGATTTTACCGCCCATGCGCTCAGCGTAGTAAAGCGTGTACGCCTCCCAAGTCTTATGCATGTAGTTTTTCTTTGGAACATGCACAGCACTAACTGGATAGGGATGCCCCAGTATATCCCCAGCAATCTGTGGGTTAAGCTTCAAGCCCACCCATTCCCAAAAAAGGTAAAGCTGCATGTTTTCAGCGAGTGTCTTCAAGTCGGGGACAACTTTAAGCGATTGGAAGAGGATTGCAAATTGCCATTCCGCCAGCTGCGGCTTGGCCTCCGTCAAAAAGCGCGCTATTTGCGCATCAGAGAAAATCTTCTCTTGGTAGCCATCCCTGTAAGCTTTAACGTATCGGAGCCACTGAATTAGCTCTGAGGCGTCGTCGGAGGCGCTCATTGGGGTCTTTGCCTTATGAGACTTATGATCTTGAAAACTTCCTTGGGAGATTCTTTGGACGCGAGCCACACCGTATTCATGGTATCATGGCTAATTTTCGACAGTGAGAACAACATTAGCTGCATGGTATCGGCATGATCCCTCATGCCGGGAGTGCTTCGAAGCGAGTGAAGCATCGCCACCAGATTTTCTTCCGGCATTGTCTTTCGAAGTAAGACAAACATGTCCAGATCCGTAAACTCGAGACCTATGTTATCAGCCCGGTACGACTCCACATAATTCAGCCACTGACGGAAGATAGGTGTCTCATCCAGTTTTGGACCAGCCTCTTGAAGACGTAACGTTCTGTAAACGGCAGTTAAGTCGGTTTTTTCTTGTAAGGCTTTGAAGGTCCATGCCCCCGATAGAGACTGTTGCATACTCGCCAGGGAACCCGAAAATGCAATACTTAAATTAATACATCGATGTAGACTAAGAATAATAATAATTTAATTATTTGCAAAACTTCGCAAGTCACGATTGTAGTTCAGAAACATTATCATCTCGAGCCCGGCTGGAGACATTCGCTTCCGTAAATCAGACAGCACCAGCTTAGCGAGAGAGAAGAAGCGCTCACACTCGTTAGACGTTGGCGGGATGTACGCGACGTCGACGTAGCACAATTGCGTTTCTTGAACGCCGCTCTCACAATAGAATGCTCTCGGCGGCTCTTGAAGACGACCGTTCGAGATCAGGCGACCTAAATTCAGCGCAGGCTAATTTTCCGCGACGTTCAGCGCACCCCCACGCTGTAACTTGACTAGACCTTACTCAAAATTGGGGTTGTTCCCGTTGTGGACAGCCATAAATTAATAATTAAATTAAAAAAATTAGGATTAATTTTTACGCATATTATTTTTTCGTTCCCTGATACTCGCACCGATTTTCTTCAAGCCGGGGGTGTTCTTGAGAGATTGAATGAGGGTTGTCACCTCCTCCTCACTATTTGTTTTCAGCAACAAGTAATAGATAGCCAAGTCCGAAAACGCTTCTTTCCCATTCTTTTTTCTGTAGGCTGCAACGAGTCTGAACCATTGCGCGAGGTTTTGATTGCCATCTAACTTTGCTACACCCTCTCCAAGATGTAAGTTTCGAAAGAGTTGTGTAGGATGGACTTGGGACTGGAGCCGCACTTTAACTGCCGCTTTCTCCGATCTGGAATTCCGAATTCTTTGCATCAGGTTGTCGATCTTCGATAGCCCGGATACGGTAGCTCTCTCGTCGTTGTTATCTCCGGTCAAGACTCGCGAGTCGCTGGATCTTAAGAGACTTTTTGGAGCAGTTCCCTGGGAGAGAGAACTGGAAACAACATTCGCATATGGAGCAGTTATCTTCGAGTTGTGGCTTTGATTTGGGAAGGCGTGTGATAAGACTCCTGCTAGAAATGCAACAGCTATCAGCATTACAATACTTGAGCAGCCCATGGCTGGTTTTAACTCTTTCTTTGTCGAATCGAAAGTGCCGAAGATCAGATACGCGCTCACCCTGCAGGTAGCTTCTGGGCCACCAGTACAGTTATTTGAAGCTCCGCGATCGCTGATCGCGAACGGTGGTCAAATCAACAGGAAAACATGAGTACGGGTCTCTTCCGAAACGCAGGATTACGGTGATCCCCGCCTAACGATCAGCTGCATTTTAATGCGATTTTTAATAAAAAAGGTTGTTATTAAATCGAGGTCTTTAAAAAAGTACAAGTCGATCTAGTTGAACTGGCTTATAAATCGAGCTACGGCAGCCAAATCGACCGCTCGGGCTGTTTAATAAACGAGCAAACGTAGATGCGGCTAAAACTTTGCACCAGACTGTACACGCATATACAGCTTTTTTGCGAACAATGGATGTCCCGGCAACCAACACTGTGCCGAAAATTGAGCTGAACAAAGCTAGTCGCCCGTCAGGACGACCACGTCTCCAGCCAGCGAAGAAAAAAGCTAGAAAACGAGCCGAATTTGAAGCCAGTAAAGAGCTCGCCGAGAGACTTACAAAGCATGGGAATGTGACTTTGGCAGGTTTTGCTGCCGTTTTGCAAAACGTTGAGTTGTCTCTTGTGGATGTGGAGACCAATTGCAATGAATTGCGCCTCTTTCATCACGATGCAGTGTTTAAACGCCCGGGGGACGAATTATAGATACGGGAATATCAGACACTCTTGAGTCCAATGTCCGAGGTATTCTACCAGGTATGTTCTACGTGAGTTGGTGCGTAGTTGGTGAGAGTTGGTATATGTGCTACATGTTTGGTGTTGGTTTGGTATACCAACTATACCAACCACTCGAGCCAAACATACGCGCGCCTACCCACCTTTACCACCTATAAAACTGATAAGTATTGCTTCGTATCGAAATTGAGAGAATCTAACTTTATTCATGTCGTTGATTCTACAGAGTCGCTGGTGAGGAAATGCTTGACATCAATCAGAAACCAGATAATTCGAGCAGCAGCTGACGAGACGCCAGTCACCAACGCAGACATTGCTGTAGCAATCTTGAACGTGGGTACATTTCGCGCCACCGATAATCAGATTATGAGCGATTGGCACGAACTATCAAAACTTGTTGCCAGGGCAAGGTCCTTGATTTCATGGATCATGAGTGCTGAACTGGATAACCCAGACGAAGACGAAGAACGTGCTCAACGTCTGAAAGAAATCGCGGCTACGGACATGAGAATTTCTATCAATTCAGGCGGGCAAAGTGTCAAATGTGCAGAAGTCGCTCGATTCGGTGACCAAGGTTGGTTGAACGACGAATGTTTAGTTGCTGCAGCAGCTCGAATCGCTGCAGAGGCGTCATGGAGCCCACCACCAAAGGTATACGTTGCAAGCCCCACGTTTGCTACGTTTGAGTATGAAGATCAAAGAAACAGGCTCGTTGACACATATGACTTTTATTTTCAGCAAACGTGACGAGAGCACGGTGATACTGTACCCACTCCACATTAATGTCGACGTCGCCCAGTGGTGTGGCGCTGCGTTTGACATGAAGCGGCGGTTAGTGTGGATATAGGGCCCATTTCACAAAGAAGACTACGAAGCCGAAGTGACTACGTTGGTCGAGAACGTGTACCTCCCCCTGGTAAATCCTGATTATACATCGAAAATCCGACTGTATCGGGGGTGGCGCCAACGCAATGGTTTCAGCTGTGGCGTGTATGTTGTGCATTGGTTTGATCCTGGTGGTCATCATCTTCCAGCGAATAGGTAACGAGCCTGCGCTTACTAGCAATCCATCATTTCGATCGGCATACCGACGAAGTGCAACACAATTTGATCGTGACTGTTCTCGACGCTCTTTTCGGTCAATGAAGGGATACATTGGTGGGTATTGCAGCAGCCACTACGGCATTTGCCAGCACGGCATCTGTTTAGTCCGATTTCTCTGTTCTGAAGTAAACCCCAATGCTCGTCGCACCGCAAGGACTTAAGTTGTTTTAGAGGGCAGTTTCAGGCTATACAATTCAAACTACTCGGGATCCTAGGCAACCTACCATGCGAGTAGTGAAGCGAGCCCGTGGCGAGCGGAACGGAGGCAAAACACAAGGAGCGACATTCATTCTTACCCGCCGCGTAGCGTCGGCACTCGGCTAGTCAACAACAGCTACGAGTACTTCTCTGGCACACTCCAATATGACGATTGGATTTTTTTAAAATCGCACCTAAACGAATACTACAATTCCAGTGGCTTAAATTAATTTTAATTATATGGACTAATTTTATGGTTGGCGGAGGCTTATACGCACTCAGTCACTTTTCGAAAAAATACAATACAACGTCAAACTCAGCGCTGGCTCCCGAAATACCAAGAAGTACACGCCTGCGCCACCTAGCCGACGGAACACTACACCGCGCTTCTTCTCGTGTAAAGCCTACACTTACGGATAACCACAAGATCAAGCGTCTTCAATGGGTGTTAAGTCACGTTGACTTGCCGCTAGGTTAAGTAACTGTTTTTTTTTAATTTTTATTTCTCTTTTCTCAGCTATTAATGTTATTGTGTTTTAAGATGTTAAGGTGCCAGGATGTAACGGGGTACGTAGCCCTAAGTGTACCCTGGTTACATGAAGTGTGACACTTCACACTTCAGGAGTATGACGTGTCATACTCCGGGATATTTGGTACAAGGTACCAAGGTCGTTCAAAGCCAACCATTGGTTAAATGACATTGCATATCTATAGGTAACTAATAGTTTGTATTAAACCCAAACTTAACCTACCTATAAATATATACAGTTTACAATCTACCTTATTTAGGTCACTTCGCTCTCTTTAATTAAAGAGGGGACCTGTGAACTGCCGTTCACTGAGAGTTTGTATACTCTCGGAAGATAACTTCCTCTAGCGCAAGGTGCTGTGTGACCCCGTCACACTTGGTAGCACTAGTAGTCAATCCACGCCACCGCGGGTAGACTACCTGAACCTCTCCGAAGTTCGTTGCCATGGATAGGAACGACTTCTCCCATATGAATGACTCTCAGTTCGAGTCGGTTCGGAAGATGGCAGGCATCTTCGGGATGGAGGCCCTGCAGAGCCTGGTGGTATCAACACCGGCTGAGCAGCTCGAGCGCGTCAATGCATTCGACGCGTACGAGCAGGGCCTCATCGCGCATGTGCGGGAGAACCTGCAGGCTCCGGCGGCGGAAGAAAATCCGCCTCACCCGAAGCCAATACGGCCGAAGGTTAAGCCGTATGAAGGGAAGGAAGGCGAGAACCTTCACTTCTGGGTCCGAGAAGTAGAGCTCGCGATGGACGCGGCTCTGATCTCGACCGAGCAGCTGCGTGTTGCTTTTGCACTCTCCAACCTTAGCGGCCGTGCTAAGAGTTGGGTGTACACACGGGAAGCAACATCCCCTGGATGTTTTACATCCTGGGCTTAGCTGTGCGAACAGCTCCGAGCGCGTTCCTCCCGGCGAACTACGAGTACCGCCAGCGTTCGCGCTTCCTCGCGTGTAAGCAAGGAAGGCGCGAACAGCACGAGTATGTGCAAGCGATACGGGAGCTCACGGCGTCCCTAGTGGGAAACCCACTCAACGAACACATCAAGATGACTGTGTTCATGGACGGATTCGAGTGGGCCCCGCACGCACTCAGCTGTTCCGGGTGCAGTCAAGCACCCTTGAAGCGGCGATTCAAGTGGCTCTTCAAGAAGAGTACAGCCATCGCCAGGCGCGTACGCCGGTCTCAGCGTGGCCTGGGAGTTCCTTGTCGGCTCCCGGTCGAACAAGCCCCAACGGACCAGTTCCCATGGAACTCGGGTCCGCCGAATCGCGTGACATCCGCTGCTTCGGCTGCGGGAAGATGGGCCACTTCAAGCGCGACTGTCCCGCGGAAAGACTCCGCAGACGGTCCTTCCCCAAGCCCGTCCTCAAGGGTCGCTGGCAGAAGCCAGGATCCCGGGGACAGGGGAACGCCGGGAACCAGTAGGGGCGGGGCGCCCTACTGGGGACGAACTAAATCTTTGTGATGGGTGCGCGGGTGGCGCGTACCACGGGGACTTAGCCCCTGAGAGTCTTCGCACTCTCGAATCGGCGAAGAGCAGCGGCGGGTTGCTCGTAGTACACGGATGTGTACGGGGATACGATCATCCCTTTGGAATCTTGATCGACTCTGGGGCGTCGAAGAATATCGCACGCCGCCAGACGGTTGCTCGTAACAGCAACAAGTTGTCCGATGCTTTGAGAGAAAGCAAGGGCAACGGGACGGTGTCAGTGCGACTGGCCGACGGGAAGGTCGTCACTGTCCCCAACGTCCGAGTGGATCTGGCCGTCAAGTTTGAAGACTTTGACAGCCTCGAACAGTTCACTGTTCTCGATATGGATCCATATGATATGATCCTGGGCATGCCCTGGCTTGAGAAGCACGAGCCCTGGATCGACTGGCGAGGCAAGGCAATCGGTGCCAGCCGCCCTGCGCAGTCCGACAGAGCATTGGTGAGTCATGTTCCCACCTCTGTCAGGACCCGGGGTGCCCGCGAGGGCTGCCAGGGTACCAAAGCATCCGGCAGATGCTTGGGAGTCGTCGACGTATATGACAGCTCCGAGGATGCTTTGGTGGTGGCCGCGCCCAGAAGAGGCGCCGGCCAAGTGGGTAACTTAGGTCCACAGGCGGGTAACTTAGTTCCGCAGACAGCTGCAGCTGTCATGAACACTGAGAACAGCGTGTTCAGAGTGGGTAACAGAGTTCCACTCACGGTCGCCCAGACCTTAACTGAAGAGGAAGGCGTTGAACACACTTCCTGTGTGGGTAACACAGTGCCACACGCGGTCGCCCAGACCTTAACTGAAGAGGAAGGCGTTGAACACGCTTCCTGTGTGGGTAAAACAGTACCACACGAGGCCACGAGTGCCTCGGATGTCGTAGCAACGACATCCCTAGACGTGGGCAGCAAAGCTCCCCGTCACAGCCGCCGTCGGCAAAGACGCCGCCGCC